GTCCGTACTTTTCTTCGAGAGGCTATAAGACTTTAGAAAAAAACTCACTTCTTTCGACTCCTTCGTGCTATGACTTGAATCCAATTAGTATCTGGGTGATACGAATTTGTATCTTTCCTCATTCACTCTATGGTCCGAACTAGAGCAACAAAAGTGGTAACACCTTCACTAGCAAGAGAGGATGTGTATAGACTACCAACAGTTGAATAGGGTCACCATTCAGAACAAGTATCCATTACCTCAGATAGATGACCTTTTTGACCAATTGCAAGGTGCATAGATTTCTCTAAGACTGATTTAAGTTTTGGTTACCATTAGTTAAAGATTGAGGCGGTTAAGAATTTGGTTCGACCAATTCTATGATTGAAATTAGCAGTTTTGTGGGGCTCGCTATCTACTATTGTCGCTTGTGGTATAAGTTGAGTCAAATTGGTATCTCAACGAAGTGAACTAGACGTCATAGTCTCGACTGAAGAGACATAAGCAAGTTAATTGAAATTGAGAAGGTTCCAAATTGTATCTGGCCTTAGGGGCCTTAAAAGGCATAGATGATCAGTAACAGTCGTCTATGGAATGAACTAATTAAAGAATTTGGACTTATCTGCAAGTTGTAACTGCTTAAGTGTCGTGATACTTGTTGTGAAAAGAAAGTCATCATGAGATTACGTGCAAGGGTCTAGATAAATTACGATGTGGTTCGTAAGCAAGAAATTTGGACGTGCGTTGCGACCAATTTATAACTGTGTGAGGGTCTTGGTATATCATGGGGATATGTGTGTGGTAGTGTTGAAACAATGTAAAAGGATTCTAAAGTGCGTACTTTGTTGGGTTGATCGGGAGGGGGGGGGGGATATAGAACGATTAATTGTCCTAGCTAAAGGGATTTTCTTAAATGCCTAGTTATACCCGGGAAATCTAGGGGAAATATAGAAAAGAGAGGAACCCCAGAAATGGTTAGCAAGGGTTCTATTTCCGTCAGGGCAGCTGGGGCGGGATTTTTCCGTTTCGGCATAAACATGGGATCAGTTGCCACGTTTTGACATAAACATTGGATCCGGTACCACGTTTTGGTATGCTAACAGTTTGGGTGTGGGTTCCATGAGAGGACCATTGATTTGACTTAACTGTATATCTTGATAAATGTGAAATTGTTCGTTGTTCGTAAATGATATTGATATTGTGTATATTCGGTGTATGCATGTTATTATATTGTTGTAATGACTTATGTATGTTGCACTTAGTGGGATAACCGCGTGATCCTACCAATACACTGTCGTTGTGTACTGATACTGCACTTGCTCTTTCTTTGTTGAGTACATGACATCTTCAGGTGGCTATTGATAGACCTCAACTAGGTGACTATTGAGCGTGGCCAGATTCAAGGGTGAATCAGTTCTTTTAGTCTGCCATGAATCTTTCTTGTTTAAGTCCACTCTTTTCGGACTCCAACTTTTGTTTAAGGTGTTGTTTAGTTTCAGGGTTGTACCCCTTGTTCTTAGACTTGTCGTTCGTAGAGTTTTGGTACAATGACTTTCAGGTTTTAGGGGTTGTTCTTCCGCATTAGTTTGGTTAGTTGTTTGTCAAAACCTTGGAGTTTATGGGGACTCCGTTTTTATAGTCATTTAAACCTACTTCCGTATCTTTAAATGCCTTAGTTTTCATAAAATTTGTTTGTTTGAGTTGTAGTAATGGTTCTCCCACCGGAGAGTTTGTGTGGGTGTCAATCACGACGGTATGGATCGTGACAATTTGTCTCTATCTCCATTATTAAAGAAGTGAACTTTGAGTCTTATTTAACCTCATAAGTTAATTTATTCAAGATGTGAAGATTGTTCAAAATTATGTAAAGAGTCTACGTGCATTTTCAACATTAAGTAAATAATTAACTGGGACGGGCCTATATTAAAATACCATATTAAATAAATAATTCTTAAATCTATTTCAACCCTAAAAGTTTGCTAAAAAAATGAGAATTACTCAAGATTATATAAAGAATTTAAATACACGCTAACCCCACAAATGTGAGACTATAATATCCTTTAAATAAATTCTACGTCATATAAATTTAAATTAATCAAATCAATAAATTTCGTACCGACTAAAAACAAAAGGAAAGGACAAGACTCGTCTGGGGAAAAAATAGTGTACAATGAGTAGTCATTTTCAAAATATGTATGCATCATTAAAAGATAATTAAAAAATATATTAAATGAGAATTGACCCCTAGTATTTAAGATAAATAATTCAACGTACATTAAATTGACTGTATCATTTAGCCTTCTTATAACATAGCACCATCAATTTTTTTATTTTTTTTTTATATATGTAATCTATAATTTTATTAAAAATCATGAATTCACGTATCTCATATTTTAGCTATAAATTCACCAATGCTTGATATAGGCCTTCCTATCAAAACCCAGCTATCATTATCTTCATAATATATAGGACAAATTACTTAAGTACACAACATTACTTTACCTATTCTCAATATTTCCCTACTCTTTTACTAAAATACAAAAATCCCTTATTTTCCCCCAATTCAACTTAACCGGATACTTTATTAGTTTAAGTATCCGCCCGTTATTAATTAAAGTATCCGCGCTGCTATATTATGCATCCGCCCGTTAATTTAAGTATCCGTCCGTTATTAATTAAAGTATCCGTGCCAACAACTTAATAATTTAAGTATCCGCCCTTTATTAATTAAAGTATCCGCGCTGCTATATTATGTATCCGAAAGACACTAAAAAAGGGATTTTTGGTAATTAATGAAAGAGTAGGGATAGGAAGTAATTTCCTTCTTATAATATGTGATTTGCCTAATTTTTACTAATATATATATATATATATATATATATATATACTAGACATCGGAGCCCGTGCTAGCACGGGCCCAATATGTCATTTTTTGTTCAATTTATATGACAAAGACAAAATTAAAGAGTTAATCAAACTTTAATATTAATTTAAAATAGTTTAAATTTTTAATTATTGTTAACTATGGTAATTTTTTTTTCTGTTTTTTAATATTCTAAATTGGTAATTATTGTTGTATGATTTGTAATATCTTTTACGCAATTTTAAAATAATAAATGTTATTTCTTCTTTCTCAATTTATGTGGTACTAATAAAATTTGGAGATTCAATCAAATTTTTTTCGCTTTAAAATATTCTATTGTTAATTACTGTAAATTATTGTACTTTCTAAGTAATTTTCAAATAATATATATTATTTCATTTGTCCAATTTATGTGTCACCGATAAAATTTGAAGAGTTAATCATATCTTTTACATATTTTTATATCTTTTGAATATTTAAGTAAATAATTATTGTGATTATACAATTATTTTTAAAAAATTAAACAACAAACAAAACGAATTCATCATAGGAAAATTACCAAAGCATCTTTGAATACATCAATAATGGATCCCACTTTTTGTTTAAAAAAATATGCATATTGGGAGGATATTTTTGTCCAAAGTGGAAATAGAATAAGTATAAAGCATTAAAGTCTTTTAAAATTTTAAATGGTTAATTCTTATTGTGTTATTTGTAATACTTTTACGCCATTTTCAAATAATAGAGGCCATTTCTTCTTACTCAATTTATGTAGTACTAAATTTTTTTTGAGATTCAATCAATTTTTTTGTCTGTGAAATATTTCTTGCTGTTAATTACTGTAATTTATAGTACTTTCTAAGAAATTTTCAAATAATATATATTATTTCATTTGTCCCAATTTATGTGTCACCGGTAAAATTTGAAGAGTCAATCAGATCTTTTATATATTTTTATATCTTTTAAATATTAAAGTAATTAATTATCGTGATTCATAATATTTTATAGAATTATTTTGTTTAGTAAAATAAATTTAAAAGAAACAAACAAAGCGAATTCATCATAGGAAATTACCAAAGCATCCTTCAATACATCAATAATGGGTTCGACTTTTTGTTTTTAAGAAATTGCACATTCGAAGGATATTTTTGTCGAAAGTGGAAATATTGTGTAAAAAATGTGTATTTATTGTGATTTTGAATGTTTTGTGGGGTAATAGGACGCATGCAAAGTTAAGGTGTCTTTTTGAAAATCTGGGACAACTTCAAGTATCACTTAATGTTTTTTCTCAAAATCTAATTTACTTTCGTAAACTATGTGTCAGATCAAAATTTAACAAATTAAAAAAGAATGAGTAATAAATAGCTCATACAATAACATATTTATGATTTAACTAAATAATAAATAGTAACTAAAAATCTTGTTAGCTTTTGGTTGAAAGCTAACAAGACATATTTATTATTTAACTAAATAATAAATATGTAACTAAAAATCTTGTTAGCTTTTGGTTGAAAGCTAACAAGATAGTTATAATCATAGTGGCATTGTGACTTATTATATATAGAATATATACACACATGCACATGTGTTACTTATGCTGATGTTATCCTTGCCAGGGGCTAGTTTTTGAATAAATTATGGATCTGTTTAATACGAAAAATGATGAATAATTAATTTTAAAATATGTTTATCACATATTTGATTGAAATAAAATCGCAGAATTATTTATTCCGTATTTATGATGTTATTTTTATTTCAATGTGATAATAATTCTACAATAGTTAATCTCATAATAACTTGTTCTCCGATCAAACAAGCCTTTTTATCCGCTTCTCATATTCCATTAGGTCCCAAATGGAGGCCATTTCTTGTCTGGTCTACTTGTCGTTTCCAAATCATTTTAATGATATCTAGAGATATGTTTTTAATTTTTTAAGGAGGAGATAAAGTATAAAATCTATTGTGACCGTGAAATATATCTTTAATTTTTCTAATTAAATTTTAGGCAAAAAATAAATGAGGAAAGAAAAACACAATAGAGTAAAAGTTAATAAAGAGACTTTTTTTTTAAAAAATTTTCTTTGTAGATAACATAAAGTGAAACAAATAAGGAAAAACATAATACTTGGCGTACGAGACATGTCACATCATCTCTCCACAAACCTGAATTATATAGTTTTTTCTTTAGAAATTATTTACGCTTCAAAGCGACAAATAATTGACATGATTTTTCATAATTAGCTTTCATCCATGCTGAAATTTCTTCACTTTTGAGTATAGTCCTTTCACAAGCCTCTTTTGCTATTTCACTTCCAAAATGATTGATTATAAGTCCTTCTAAAACAGCTCTCAGGTTTATCATTAAAGTTTTTGCATCAGCTTCATCCACAAGCTTTGATTGAGGATATGTTAACTCTATTTTCTCAATGCTAAAACAATCATTTTTCTCCACCACTTTAGTCATGTCTTCAACAGATGGAAAATACATTGGCAAATTAAATGAGTCAACTAAAGACTCATCTAACTTTCCCTGTGGAAAATAAATAAATAAATAAATCTCAATAACATTTATTTGTACATGTTTAATGAAAATTTGAACACATATACAAGGTCTGAACCAAAAATATATACACTGCGTCCACTCTTGTAAACACACAAGTTATACTTAATATATGATTCGATTCATTAGTTTCGATTCATTACTTTCTATTTATGTGAACATATTCTCGATCTTTTTAGTCTGTTTGAAAAAATATCTGAACATAATTCAATTTAGACTTTTTATTTATCCTTAACGAGAAGATTTTATAGCAGCATAATGTTATGTCTTATTTAATATCAGAAATTTCAAAAATCTTCTTTTTTATTAAAGCTTTGTGTCTAGTCAAATTAGTTCAGATAAATTGAAAGGAATGAAGTTTATACAACATGCAAAAAAAATTACCCAACAAACTTATCTTCTAAAATATATCATGACTTAGCATTCTAGTTATTGTGTAAGATGAAAAGATAATAACTAAACGCAAAATATGTTATTTATACATTTTAAATGAATTTCTTATCACAAATATAATATCGAATCTGACCCAATGTTATGTCGAACCCATAACTTTAATATAATGGCAAGTCCACCCTTGCCTTTAGGTTAGCCGATGGAGTAATTTTTTTTTAAAAAAAGTGACGATATATATAACTTAAACTCAAAATATGATTTACTTACCTCATTCACCAAATCCGTAAGACTAGAGCCAAAAAATTTCATGAGACGTACATAACTTGAAAATGGTGTAATAAGCACCATCATTCCTCCCTGAACAATTTCCTCAGCTCTTGCATTAAAGAACATTTCCATGTCCTTTTCAAATTGAGCAAAATAAGCATTCACTACTTCAATATTTGAAGCACCTATATAATGAATCAAACCTTTATTCCATGATGGGGATTTCTCATCTAATATTTTTTTTGGAATCTTAGATAACCAATGTATAGAACAAGACGAATGTGCAAAATGTATGGATCGCGATGGAAATAATCTATCATGAAAAGATCCTGGAACTCCGAATGCATAGTAGGATCGATCAATTGGGAGTGATCGAAAGAGGGTGTTGAAATCATTGGTGACATGATCATTGAAAAATATTTGGATTTCAAGATTGTTATTAGTGGAATTTGTCATGACTTGGGACAAGTACTTGTCCTTTAGAGCTTCAACAACATGTTGCATTGCAATTAAAGTGTTTGGTCCAACAGAACATCCCAACTCCGCAATACATAATGTGTTTGAAGAAGATAACATGGTTTTGATGTCAAACTTTCCTATAATTGCATCTCTCACCATCTCCTTTGAGCCCTCTAACACTTCTCTCTGCATGCAATTATAACAACGATATAATCAGTGTAATCTAACAACATAGTTTGAAACGAAAGGAGTATATATATAACTAATTCAAATTCAAAATTGTATATAATATTAATATGTACCGCCAATTGTGAGTTTTTGGAGAAGCTATAAGGACCATCACCAGCATTCATGGGAAAAGATGTTGTCATTTTGGCTAATGCTAATTAATAATATGCTTAACAGTCTATTTTTCTTTGAGTTTTTCTTGCTCAATGTTTTCTCCACACAGGTTCTTATATATGTGAATTTTTTGCATTGTTCAAATAAGGATCTGTTTGGCAAGGAAAAGCCAAAGAAGAAGAAATCTCAAAAGAACACGTTTGATTTTACAATATTTGATGTCATCCATGACATCAACAAAAGGTTTAATTGGAAGGATTAAGAAAAATAATCTAGGTGATAAAATGATTGTGTGTATATGTAATGTATCGATATTGTATAAATGGTTCTGTAATGTATCAACATTGCATAAATAGTATAAAGTTGTGTATATATATAACTACGTATATACAATATTTATACATTACAACAGTAATTAATATTAGACTAATAGTTAATATTTCTAGTACATTATCTGTTAGGGTTTTGTCCTGATTTTCTTACCTTATTTGAAGTTTATTTTTTTCTAAAAGAAAAGACAAAACATTACCATAAATGTTTTTACTTTTCCTGAAAGGAAAATATAATATTCTTCCATGTTTGAGTTATTCTTTCCTTGGAAGAAAAGTTTGGAACTTTATAAATTGAAGACCCCTCTTCTCATATCAAAAACACAATAGAATCCACAATGTAGTTAGTTAAGAGTCTTGTTTATGGGGAGATTTTCTCCTAAACATATTTATGTTTTTTTTTCAATATTATATTAGTTTTATAATATGTAGGTCGTTTGACCAAACCATATTAATAATATATCGTTAGTATGTTTTTATTTGTCGTCTGATTTGTCAACCATATGATTTGCAAATTATAAACTTCCGCATGATGCCCCAATTCACCTTCATAACCCAACATTATCACCTTATATCTCGATCATATTTGTGTGGTTTACATTGTTATTGGAGTGTTTTGATCTTATTAGATGTTTTTATGTAAATTGGCACGAGGAAAATTGAAGGGAACGAAGCCAAAAGAGACCAGCTCTACCCACACATCACATTTAATCACGTATTAGGGTAGAAGGCAGGGGCGGATTCACATAGAGCTTTGTGAGTGTTTGAGCATTCATTGAACTCGATGTGAAAGGTATATAGGTATATAAATAATACTACGAAACCTATATAATTAATTAGTAAGAACCCAATAAATAATTGTTGCATGTGGCTCGTTGGTTAATAAGTGGGTACTGAAGCTATCTTATTTTTTTCTCACCTTGTGTTCGGTAACCATATTGGAGCCTGACTAAATTCAGATTCACACCGAAAAGTCCCACATTGGAAACTTGAACCCGAGACCTCTGGTTAAGAATGAAGGAGTACTTACCACTCCACCACAACCCTTGTTGGTAGGTTTCTATTTTAAGATTTTCGTTCCCTTATTGTAGGTGTCTATTTTACGATTTTCTTCCCTTACTTACAAGCTTCTATTATTGCCCTCTAATCATAGGCTTCTATTTTCTTTCCCTAATTTTAGGCTTCCAGTTCCTCTTTAACAATTTCTAAAACAATATGTGGAACTACAAGTTTAGAATTAGAAATAATTATTGTTATTTATTTTAATTATAATATATGGAAAAAATGTTGAGTACATACTTTAATTTTTTGAATTACATGTTCCATCTTTTCTCCAAGGAATCACAAATTTTCATATTGGAGCCCGACTAAATCCAAATTCACACCGAGATCTTGTTTTCTGATAGTAATATAAATATAGCTTTCTCATTAACTTTTTTAACGATCGTAACAATTTTATGTTAAAAAAGTGAACCATCCACTATCTTCAGATCCTGAATCTGTCACTGTCACTGTCACTAGAAGAATAGTAGGAATGCAGTGTTATCTTAATTTGGGTGGTTGATGTTTGCCATTAGCATTATATTAGTATTATTATAGTTCTTATTTTGATATTTTAATTATCGCACTATTTTGTGTTACTTGTTGTAATTTCATCATTATTTCCGTCTCTTTTGTAACTGGATTTGCTGCATTGAGTTTAGAGTCTTTCGAAAATAACATCTCTATTTCTATGAAATAATGATAAAGTCTATGTATATTCTACTTTTTTCAAATTTCACTTATAAAATTTTATTAAGTATATTATTATTGTTATTGTGTATGGACTCTTCAAACTTCAAAGTCATGTAACAGTTGAAATTAGGATAAGGTCAATATAAGAAGAAAGCAAATATCTCCCATAGTCCAATAACCAAAAGTTATAATCCACACATTTATTCATTCATTATTATTCGTCGTACAAAAATAAGCATGCATTATAAATAGTATGTATGATAACTAGTATGTGAACCAAATAAGTCGATAAGAATTGATATAAATCTGATCCACTAGGTAAATGGAAATGCTCCACACAATATGCATGACACATCTAATTGTCTAAAATTAGGAAATATATATCCAATAATAGTAGGGACCTTTCAAAATTCAAATTCATGATAGATTAAGTCAAGTCATGTAATAATTGAAATAAGAATAAATGCAAATAAATTGTAATATAAGAAAAAAATAAATATATCTCCAATAATTCAAAGTTATAATTATCCACACAATTCCATATACTGATATAATCAATAAATTAGCTGGCTATCAGTCTTACTTTGTTTTTTCGTTGGGTTGATAGACTCAAAGATATTATTAGCATGGTGTGATATCGTCTGCTTTGAACCAAATATAGACGATTTTTCATAAAATGTCATGTATAGTTCTTTAAGACGAGTAATTTAAGGTGATGTTTTTGGCTGCACAGGCATCCAAATTAATTTTCCATTTTTATAAGTGTAAAACAACTCAATTTTGAATAATAATGGAACAAAATTGATTATTTTTACCATAAAATAAAATATTTAATTTGTATTTCTTATACTTGTGGTAATGGGTTTGAGCCCCCAAAATGAGCATCTCTATTGTTGTTCTTTTAATTTTTTCCCTTTACTATTCAAAATTCTTGGATCATGTTTAGGTAATAAATATTATTTAAAATAAAAATGACTTTGGTAAAATAAAAATAAAATGAAAAAAAATCAAATTCTCTTTTATTCAGGTTCCACCCAAATCCATTTTTGTTTTTGTATCTTTTATATATATATATATATATATATATATATATATATATATATATATATATACTAGATACAAAATCCGGGCTCAATATATATTATTTTATAATTTGTTTTAATTTTATTGTTGTTAATTATTTTTATAATATTTTAAACATATTTTTTAAATAATATATGTGGCACATGTGATATTTTGAGAGTCCTAATTTGCAAGCAACCACAATAAACCTAATATGACTAAATTATCCTCGAATTTAATGGATATTTCCAGAAAGCACACACGTCGACCGAAACGTGTGTGCTTATTCCCTTATATATTAGTAGTGGAGATGGAAAGAAAAAGAGCAAGAAATTAAAGGGAGGCCAATTAAAAAAACACTAACAAAGAAACTATATAATTTTCTTTGTAGAGAACATAAAGTGAAACAAATGAGGAATAATCCCAAAACATTAGGAAAAACACAATACTTGGCCTATGAGATGTCTCACATATTCATAGACCTAAATTATATAATATATAGATTTCTTCATAGAAATTTATTTACGCTTCAGAGCGGCAAATAATATGCTTGATTTCTCGTATTTAACTTTCATCCATGCTGAAATTTATTCACTTTTGAGAATTGTTCTTGCACAAGCTTCTTCTGCTATTTTACTTCCAAAATGATTGATTAAAAATCCTTCTAAAGAAGTTATTAGGTTTATCATTAGAGTCTTTGCATCAACTTCATCTACAAGCTTTGATTTGGTCTATCTCAACCCCATCATCTCAATGCTAAAACAACCATTTTTCTCCACCACTTTAGTCATGTCTTGAGGAGAAGGAAAATACATTGGCAAATTGAATGAATCAACTAGAGATTCATCTAGTTTTCCCTGTGGAATAAAGGAAAGAAACCTCAATTACAAATTTATGTTCTGTCTGTTTCAATTTATGTGAATTTTTTGAAAAAAATTCTAAATTTGAAAGTGATATAATTTAAACTTTATATTTATCCTTAATGAGAAGTTTTTATTTCCATACAAGTACTAATAATTAATTTTGTTGCCATACAAATATTTTGTCATATTTAATATCATAAGTTCTAAAAGTCTTCATTATTTTTTGTTTTGAAAGATTTGTGCTTTATCATAGGTTCAGAAATTGAAATGGAGAAAAAGTATATGACATACTAAAATACGCTTATAACTTGTTCAAAACATTGACATATAAAATGAAATAGGGATAATTACCTCATTCACCAAATCCATAAGACTAGAACCGAAAAATCCCATGAGACGTATATAACATAAAAATGGTGAAACAAACACCATCATTCCTCCAGGAACAATTTCCCCAGCTCTTGCATTGAAGAACATTTCCATGTCCTTTTCAAATTGAGCAACATAAGCATTCACTACTTCAATATTTGATGCACCTACATAGTGAATCAATCCCTTATTCCATGCTGGAGATTTTTCATCTAATAATTCTTTTGGAATCTTAGATAACCAATGTATAGCACAAGAAGAATGTGCAAAATGTATTGATCGCGACAGAAATAATCTACCATGAAAAGATCCTGGAGCTCCAAATACATAATAGGATCGATCGAAAGAGGGTGCTATATTCTAGGTGTTTTGATGATCCTCACAAATGCAGAATCTAACCAGGGACCAGATCCAGGAAAAGGTCCTCTGGTATTGGGACTGATAAAATGGGAATTGAATGAATAAACTCAGCATAAGGAATATTTGTGTCTTCATCAAATATGGGAAAATGTTATATTCTAGGTGTTTTGATGATCCTCACAAATACAGGGACCTGGTCCCAGGCAGAGTTCTATCGACCAGATCTATAATGGGGTACAACTGTAAAGCTATCGTGTCAGAGGTTGGTGAGGCATCAACGTACTACACCAATCAGAATGGACGAGGGTGTTTGTCCAACGGGTAATAACTCTTTATGGTTGATATATTCTACGTGACAAACACTATATTAAATTCATTC